CAGCCCGGGGAGCGCCCCGATCGCCCCCGATCGCCCCCGCCGGACCCGGCTCGGGGCTCCGCTCCCCGCCTTCCTGCTGCCCGCACAGGTGTTTCCGTGCGGCGCAGGCCTCTTTGTACTCGGGCACCGGGAGACTTCCAGAGTCGGGGACACTCGCGGGCGGCACGAACCTGACCCTGCTCAGGGAGAAGACACCCGCGCTTAACGGAGCTAGTTTCTTGGGTTTTCCCCCCTGTAGATTTCAGTGAGCCCAGGAAGGGGACGGTGGCCAGAGTTTGGGTCTGATTTAAGTTTGAGTGCAGGATGAGTATGTTATGTGCAGTGATGGTGTTTTCAGCGTTAGGATGACTTTGAAATGTTAATTGGTCGAATGGGATACCCACAAAAGATTTAAAATATACTTTGGTACGCTATTTTGTTTCACTGGTCAATTTAGTTTTTTAAAAATGTAATTGTTTTGTCTGCTACATTGTATTTGAACGCATTAAATTTTCCTAGGTAAGTTACTTTGGAAAAAAAGTATTTACGTTTTTATAGGGGCTGTGTTTTTGGGGGGAGGGTATTGCGGGTGAAAGTGATGATTTAAAATTGTGAAAGGGATGATTTAAACTTTGATCGTTTGTAAACAGTAATTACATTTAAGCGATTTCTTCCCCTCCTGTTCATCGGTATATTGCTAGGCAGACAGAAATATATATAGCTCATTAGTTTATTTTGACCCACATATTGATGATTACATGAGCAAGCAATGAAAGTTGTCTTCTGTTCCCAAACTTCAAGGTGCTTTTTTATGAACAAGGTATTCTGCCTCATTTGCTCTTAAACGAAATTCCTGTAGCCCTTGAGTGGAAAAACGGTTATCATTATGACTGCTTCAGACAGTTTTTTAGAAATACATTTATAATGTAGACACCAGTTTACAGCACAGAATACAGCAGTGTGACAAACTCGTTTGTTGGTTACTTTGAACCAAGTTAAGTCTTATCAGACCCTTAGATACTCTTGGACAACCACCAGTGTGTTTTATGCATACATTTTTATGGTACTTTCCTCTGTAGAAAGGACTTTGAAACTTAAAAGTACCATGCAGCAAAAGTTAGGTGAATGAATAAATACGTAGTCAAAAGACAGCAGCAGGATATCTGAAGTATCAAGATATAAGAATAATTAGATATTAGATTAATGTCAAACTTAGGCAGAATTATTACCAATTGTAGGGTTTTTTTGGGAACATGTAGTGTATAAAAATTTAATGCTACACTTAATATTTGACGTACAAAGGGTGCTTTATTATATACTTAAGTTCTTAAAATTGACTTTTGTTCTTTTGAGACAGAGTCTCAGTATGTGGTTCAGGCAGGCCTTGAACTCACACTGACAGTAATCCTCCTGCCTCAACTTGCTGAGTGCTGGGATTATAGGCATGTGCCACCATTCCTGGCCTCATGTTTTTTTTAAAAAAGAGTTTTTGCTGAGCGAGTTGATGTACTTCTGTAATCCCAGCACTTGGGAGGTTGAGGCAGGAGGATCTCTGTGAGTTTAAAGCCAGCCTAAACTGCATAGTGAGACCCTGTCTCAAAAACCCAGAAAAACACAGGTGTTTGAGTCATGTAATAAGCGTAGACTAAATTTTTTCACAGTTACATATACTGCAAGAACCAGGTTTTGTTTTTTTATTTTTTTGGTCTTTTTTTTTGAGACTGGGTCTTGCTATGTAGTTCAGGCCAGCTTTGAGCTCACTTTGTAGCCCAGGCGGGTCTCAAACTCACAATGATCCTCCTGCCTCAGCCTCCCCAGTGCTGGGATTACAGGCTGCTGGGATTACAGGTGTGTGCCATCATGCCCGGCAAGAAGAGGTTTTCATCCGATTTTTTCCCCTTTTTAATAAAGCACAATAGTTGGGTGTGTGGTGCACACCTGTAATCCCAGGACTTCGGAGGTTGAGGCAGGAGGATCGTCCAAAGTTTGAGGCCAAGCTGAATTACAGAGTCAGACCCTGTCTCAAAAAAACCAACAAACCAAACAAATCCCACAATAAAATAATATTAAATAACAACTAAGGTATTAAAGTACCTGAAAGTATTATTTAGATGAAAACTACCTGTATCCCATCATAGTTTTAAATTGTGAATTTAATAAATTGTGAGTGAAATTAGTGTTTAAGTATGTAGCAGTGTACATAAAAGTTTAAATCTGATGCTTGCCAAAGGATAGGTAAGAAATGAGAAATAAGATGTGCTAATAAGAGGGGAAATATTTTACTTGTCATATGTATAAAGATAGGCTGTAATCCCAGCACTTGGGAGGCTGAGGCAGGAGAATCACTGCAAGTTTGAGGTCAGCCTGGGCTACAAAGTGAGTCAGTTCAAGACCAGCCTGAACTGCATAGTGAGACCTTGTCTCAAAAAGACAACAAAAAGGAGGGGGGGGGGTAGAATTTGGAAATTAAAGCAGGCTAAGTCTAAATTACAAAAGTATAGACTGATTTTCTTTTAGAAGTGGGTAGAATAAGCATCATCAAACATTTATTTTTTCAAAGTGAAAAAACCTTTAATTGAAAGCAGATTAACTGAGACCTCAAGCTAATGTTTTTGTTGTTGTTTGGCTATTGATCCCCACATAGCAGTAGTAGTGAAAGGTGTGACTATTTTAGGAAAAGAAAGTTGGAACCCTGGAGTTAGTAGAAGTAAAAGGAAAGGATGAGAATAGTTAATAGGTGAAAATGACTCTGAGGAAAATCCTTTTCCAAGATGTAATGTTAACTCATGATTTTGGGTTGCTTGAGCTTACTGTATTCTCGTTTTCTATTGGGAAGTTTCCTAATTGAAATAGAATAAGGTAGAGGTTAATGAGACAGTCTTGAGGGAAGTGTGTGTCTCTGTGTAAAGGCGTCTAGTATTTTGAGAGGCATAATTACATAAGAGTACTTCTAGACTTTTAGATTTCGTGAGAACTGTTTCTGTTTCACCCTAAGTTGGAAGACTGGAATAGATTTGCCAGTTTAAAAAATTCTACCCAGTATGGCCAATAAAAAACCACAATAACTTACACCACTGTCTATGGCCACCATCATTTCATTTAAAAATGGACATTATAGCTCAGTTTGAAAGAACAATCTCAGAATAAAACATTGTTAAATTGAGTCCCTTAGCTTTGTTGAGCAGTTTATTTTCGTGTGCTTATTTCTCCCTGGTTTCCCATAAACTGATGGAAACTCTGCTGTAAACTGCACCTGCCTGCCAGTCACCATTAAGTAAGCACTTCCTGGCCCCTTGAGTTGGTGCACTGAACCTGAATCTGAAGGATCTGGCTCCTGACACTGCCCCTTCTTAGACGTGTGGTCTCAAGCCACTCACTCATCTTCACGGAGCCTCAGTTTCTGCGTATGTTAAAGCATACTCTGCCGGAAATTGTAAAAATTAAAGGTGAAACCCGAATTTACCTGAGGTAAAGTATGTCTCATTATGGCTGTTACCATTGATTGACGAGTTTACAGTTTTTTGCAGCAATTAATAATAAATGCCTTTAAGTAGAATACTTACCTTGTTTTAGGGAGAGCCATTTATATTTCAGACATAAATTATTTTAGTATATTGTTTACTCCATGGTATGGCATCAAGTCTTTTTTTTTTTGGTTTTTCTCCGGTACCGGAAACCGAACTCACGACCTTGCGCTTGCCAGGCAGGCGCTTTGCCACTGAGCTAAATCCCCAGCCCCTGGCATCAAGTCTTAAAGTCCATTTGACACAATTTCAGAAGTAGTACAAGAGAAAATAATATGCAAACTTTTGTTTTTTGTCTTTTTGAGTCAGGGTCGCGCTATGCAGTTCAGGCTGGCGTTGAGCTCACTTTGTAGCTGAGATTACGCACGCCCAGCGTTTTTTTTTTTTGTTTGTTTTTTTGTTTTTGTCTTTTTGAGACAAGGTCTTGCTATGCGGTTCAGACTGGCCTTGAGCTCATTTTGCAGCTGAGTCTTGAACTCGCAGTGATCCTCCTGCCTCAGCCTCGAGTGCTGGGGTTACAGGTGTGTGCCACCACGCCCGGCACAAAATAGTCTCTTTTTTTGTCTTTTTGAGACATGGTCTTGCTCTGCAGTTCAGGCTGGCTTTGAGCTTACTTTGTAGCCCAGGCTGGTCTCAAACTTGCAATAATCGTCCTGCTTCAGCCTCCTGAGTGCTGTGGTTACAGGCATGTGCCACCACGCCCGGCTAAAATATTCTTCATAAATATTTCCTATAAGTTTTATTAGACCCCTAAGTTTTATTAGACCCCCTGTAAGAAGGGTTTTTGTGTTAGTATAAATGTTAAAGGATTAATAGGCTTGACAATTTTATAAAACTAAATAGTATTAGAAAATCAAGCCCACAGAGCTTCTTTGTTTTACAGTGTCAGACTTGTACTTCTCCCATATCTTAAAAAAACATCTCTTGAGCCAGGTGTGGTGGGGCACACCTGTAATCCTGGCACTCGGGAGGCTGAAGCAGGAGGTTCTTTGTCAGTTCGAGACTAACCTGGGCTACAAAGTGAGTTCAGGGCCAGCCTGAACTGCATAGCAAGACCCTGTCTCCAAAAAAAAATCTCTTGGGCTGGGGATGTAGCTCAGTGGTAGAGTGCTTGCCTATGCATGAGGCCCTGAGTTCAGTCTCCAGTACCACAAAATAAAACAAAAAAACAAACCAAAAACATCTCTTAACTGCTTACCGCCCCCCCCCCCACTGAGACATAGTTCATTGCATTAGAAAAGAATCTCGAAATTTTTACTGCTCCTCCATTTGTCCAGCTGAGACTCAAGTTTGAGACTCCCCCAGGGTAGTCCAGGTAGTGACAGATTGAGATTCGAAGCCTGGCTTCCAGAGCACTTGTTTGTAGAGCTGTTCCCCAACCCAGGTTTTAAATTCTTGCATGGATAATGCATCTGCTGCTTCAGATTTGATAGATAAGAAGACAACTAGCTGTACAGTGAGAAGTCTCCTCTGTACTCCTTCTCCTGGACAGGTACTTTGCTCTTTTCCTAGACAGCCATGAAACTTTCATTTACAAGCATAAAGATCACCATATGATTCCCACCATTTAAAAAGAAATTATTTATTTATTTAGTTTTTTGAGACAGGGTACTGCTCTGTGGTTCAGGCTGGCCTTGAAGTCACTGTGCAGCCCAGGCTGGGCTTGAACTTGTGGCCATCCTCTTGCCTCTTGCCTCACATTTGGTATGTGAGAAGTGTCAGAATGCTGGGATTACACCATGCCTGGCCCCCACCATTTTTAAAATAATAAAAAGGTATGCATGCTGACCTGTGTCTTGGTTTTCCAATATCACCATTCTTTGAAGTGCTTGTATTCATATTTAATGAAATGTTAATAACTGTTAGTGTGTGAAAGAACATTTGTTCTGATAGTTTTGAATAACTCACCTGAATTCAAGATACATGTTTGTTGCTACCATTGTTTATTGGTACAGAAATTTCACAAGCAGTATGAATTCAGTCTAACAAGGAGTAGAGGTAAATGTTAATACTTATAGGTAACACTTACTATGTGCTAAACAGTATTATAAATGCTTTACATATATTATGACAGTCCTATAAGATAGGTGACATTACCATTTACAGATGAGGAAACTAGGCACGCAGAATGTGAATGAAACATGATCCCAGGTAGTCTAGTAGCAGAGGTTTAATTCTAAAACAGGTAATCTGGCTGAAGAGGTCAAGCTTTTTACCACCACTTTTAATTCCATTTAGATCTCATATGGATATGATGATACCCATATCAGCCAAACTGAAAAAATATTATGTCATTTTTATAAACATGTATGACAAAAATACCTGGGGTTTGTATTCTAGTTTTTACTTGTTTGGAGCAGTCTTTTGGAACAGCACAGACATTTCTGTGAAGGCATGGTATTTAAGAAGTTCATGGAGTGTTGGCCTTCTAAGCCCAAATCTGTGAAGACCTGGCATTTGTCACACTTTTGGTTTGATGGATGTGCAGTGGGGTGAGCCAGCTATCATGAGAACGTGGCATGAATCTGGTTGCCTGCAGGTAGGGAGAAGGGAAAGTGTGAGTCTGAGGCTTGGTGTAGCTCTGTGAGAGAGCTGTTGGGACCTAGTGCAGGTAGAGAGCCAGAAAACTGGTGCTCTGGGTTGTGGTGCTGGGTAAATAAGTCCCCGTACAGAAACCTAAGAGGGATCATTTCCTGGGTGGTTAGAAAGAACTCCAGGGAACAGCACAAGGAAGGGATGAAAGGGTAGAAAACTGGCCATTAGGAAACAAAAGCAAGTGTTCCTGTTTGAGCATCCTATGGGCAAGCCCGGATGGGCAAAGAACTGGAATCTAGAGCCTGGACAAGGGAGAAATCTAAACTGAAACATTCCTTTACACTGTATTCTTACAAGCACAGGTAAAGCTTCAGCACTGAGCCTTGGGCTTTCCTTCAGTCAAGTACTTGCACTAGGTTGTGCTAGACTTGTTGCTATACTCTTCCAGTTTTTACATTTGTTCCTCAGAATCCTTGTCAGTGAAACAAGGATTTTATAAGGATTTGGTTTCATATTTTAACATCTTAAACTTTTTTTTTTTTTTGTCTTTTTGAGGCAGGGTCTTGCTCCGCAGTTCAGGCTGGCCTTGAGCTCACTTTGCAGCCCAGGCTGGCCTCAAACTCACAACGTTCCTCCTGCCTCGGCCTCCCGAGTGTTGGGATTACATGCGTGCGCCACCACGCCCGGCTAACATCTTAAACTTTACAATGCTATAAACATTTATATATATTCAAATATATAACGGTGCTAAATTTTAATACATTGGAGACCGCTGATTTGTATTGCCAGGTTATACCAAGAAAGTTAATGCTGAGTTTTAAAGAGGCCCCTGTCTGAAAAGATTGCGTGCTATCTGATTGCATTTGTATAACATCAAAATAACAGGACTCTAGAGATGGAGAACAGGACGATGCTTACTAGGAGTTAGTAATCGGACGGAAGAGGTGTGTGGTTATAGAGGTAGCATGAGGGTGTCTTATGAGGTGCCTTATGGAGCAGTTCTGCGTGATACAGTTGTATAGAACCACACATACTGCATATAAAACTACTGCAATCTTAAACTCTTCAGGAAAAAAGCAAAAATAAAAAGACAGTGCATTTACATTTCCTGAGAGAAAATAAGGAAAAGAAGAACATTTAAATCTCTATAATGCCAATAAACTAGTTAGTAGATTATAGCTGTTTGGTTTTTTTTTTTTGAAACAGGGTCTTGCTATCTGGTTTGGGCTGGGCTTGTACTCACTATGTAGCCCACACTGGCCTTAAACTCTGTGGAGACCCTCCTGCCTCAGCCTCTGCAGTGCTGGGATTATAGGCATGTGGCACCATGTTGTTTATTTTTGTTTTTTTGAGACAGTCTTGCTATGTAGTCCAGGCAGGCCTCAAACTTGAGGCAGTCCTCCTGTCTCAGCTCTCAAGGGCTGGGACTACAGGTATGCAGCACCACACCTGGCAATACAACCATTGCTTTTTATTGGTATTTAAAAAATTCAGGCCAATGTTTATTGGTTTATGTGAAGGTATATGAGCAAATTCATTACTATGAACTTCCAAGCCCTGTGTTTTGATGCGTGCTTGTAAATCCTACACTCTGGAGGCTAAGGCAGAAGGATCACAGATAGGAGCCTAGCCTGGGAAACTTAGTAAATTAGCACAACTTTGTCTCAATTTTTTTTTTCGTACTGGGAATCTAACTCAGGACTTTGCACTTACCGGCAGGTGCTTGTGGCACTGAACTATATCCCTGGCCCTTATCTCAAATTTTTAAAAGATAAAAAAAGGCTAGGGATGTGTTCAATACAAAAGCCATAGGTTCAATCCCCAGTATAGTATTGGAAAACAAAACAAAACAAACTCATTGCCTTGTATTATAACATGTGACTGCCTTCTGGGTCTGCCTTAATGTCATGAGTAGCACATGTTTTTAAAATTTTTTGTCAAAATATTTGTAATTAACAAGTATTCACATTCCTTAATATCACAGATATAATTTGGAAGTGTTTTACTTTTTAGTCTTAGGTATAATTGAGCTCTTAGATAACATTAAGGTGCTATTTTTAAAAAGCACAAAACACATTTGTAGCTGTTCATCTTTGTGAATCAGGTACTTCTTGATATTACACAATCAGAATAAAACAAGCTTTACTGCCCCAGTCATCCATAATTTAAAGTTTGTGTTCAGAAGAGCTCTGTTCTCACTGTACATGTTATAAATCTGAGCTTTAAAATATACCAATTAGAAAAGATACATATATAGAATAGTTACCTTGTAGCTCCACATAAAATTTCATTTGAAGTAGTTCATTTTTTTGTTTTTGTTTTTTTGAGAGAGTCTCACTGTGTAGTCCAGGCTGGCCTCAGCCTTCTGAGTGCTGGTACTACAAGTGTGTGCCACGCTCGGCTTGTTTC